TATTTATTTATTTATTTATTTATTTATTTATTTATTTATTTATTTATTTATTTATTTATTCAGGTTTGTTTGAGTCTCTTGAAGGAAAATTCGGAAACTTGGCAAAGAATTTCCGACAGTGAAATGGACTGGAGAGAAATCTCCCAAGTCAACAAGTGCAGCAAATACCGATGTGCCACTCCCCCCATGTAAACCCTAAACCCTAAACCCTAAACCCTAAACCCTAAACGCTAAACCCTAGTAAGCCCTAGCAGCCCTAGCAAACCCTAGGAAAGCCTAGCAAAGCCTGGTAAACCCTCGACGCGGAACTGAGTCGATTGGAAGCAAATTAGCCCACTCGACGACAAATTTGCTAAACCCTAAACCCTAAACCCTAAACCCTAAACCCTAAACCCTAGACCCTGGGTCACAAACCCCAGGCGCCGAGCCCCGCGCTCCCCTGTGGAGGCCCTCCCCTGGGGCCCCCAGCAAACCCTAAACCCTAAACCCTAAACCCTAAACCCTAAACCCTAGAATCTGCAGTTGTTTAGTTGGCGCAGCCAAAGCGGCGCCCCAAGGAGCAATGGGAGCGTTTAGGGTTTAGCGAGGGTTTAGCGAGGGTTTAGCGAGGGTTTAGGGTTTGTATTTGTTAATAAAAGAACTCCAACGAAATTCAAAATTATTATTTCCCGGAATGAAACAAATCGACTCCGAAACCCTCAAGTTTTTTTCGCTGTCTGTAGGGTTTAGGGTTTAGGGTTTAGGGCTTAGGGTTTTAGGGTTTAGGGTTTTTTTAGGGTTTAGGGTTTTTTTAGGGTTTAGGGTTTAGGGTCTTCTGTCGATTCGAATAGCGCTGACGACAGCAGCAGCAGCAGCAGCAGCAGCAGCAGCAACAGCAGAAGCTACTGCATCAGAAGTAGTACCACACACAAAAACAGCAGCAGCATGGGCAAATGCAGCAGCAGCAGCAGCAGCAGCAGCAGCAGCAGCAGCAGCAGCAGCAGCAGCTACAACATACTAGCAACAGCGACACCAGAAACAGCAGCAGCAATAGCAATAGCAACAGCAGCAACAGTAGCAACGGCAGCAGCAGCAACAGCAGCAGCAGCAACAGCAGCAGCAGCAACAGCAACAGTAGCAACGGCAGCAGCAGCAACAGCAGCAGCAGCAACAGCAGCAGCAGCAACAGCAGCAGCAGCAACAGCAGCAGCAGCAACAGCAGCAGCGGGAAAATAAGAATCAAACTGCCAGTGAAATGTTGGGGGTTAGTCATTTGTTGCTGTAGCAGCAGGCGCAGCAGCTCCTGCTGCGGCTGCTGCTGCTGCTGCTGCAGCAGCTGTTGCTGCTGCTGCGGCTGGCGCTGCTTGCTGGTACTCCCTAAAGGGGAAACGGCACAGCAGCAGCAGCAGCAGTTGCTGCTGCTGCTGCTGCTGCTGCTGCATTGCTTGCTAAAGTGGTTCGGTAAATTTACTCTTGAGGCGCTGCTGCAGGTTGCTGCTGCTCTTGTGCCTGCTGCTGCTGCGGCTCCTGCTGCTGCTGCTGCTGCTGCGGCTGCTCCTGTGGCTGCTGCGGCTGCTCCTGTGGCTGCTGCGGCTGCGGTGGCGGCGGTGGTGGTGGCTGCTGCTGCTGCTGCTGCTGCTGCTGCTGCGGCTGCTGCTGCGGCTGCTGCTGCGGCTGCGGCTGCGGCGGCTGCGGCTGTGGCGGCGCTAACGGCTGTTGCTGCTGCTGCTGCTGCTGCTGCTGCTGCTGCTGCTGCTGCGGAAGATGTAGAGAGAAAGGGATGGCATCTGCTTCGGAGGCTGCCTTGACAATAGCAAGGCTGCTGCTGCTGCCGCTGCGGCTGCTGCTGCTGCTGCTGCTGCTGCTGCTGCTGCTGCTGCTGCTGCTGGACATGATGGGGAATTCTTTGGGAAGTTTCGCAGCAGCAGCAGCACATGCTTCATGTGCTGTTTCTCCTGCTGCAACAACGCCGAAGCTGCTGAGAGCAGCAGCAGCAGACTGCGCTGCTGCACTGTTTGCTGCTTCCGCATTGCTGCTTTGATCGTCAGCAGCAGCAGCAGCAGCAGCAGCAGGGTTTGCAGCAGCAGCATCAGCAGCAGGCGCTGCTGCGGGCACAGGTATAGAGCCCTCGTTCGGTGCTGCAGCATCTGTTGCTGCAGCAGCATCTTTTGCTGCAGCAGCATCTTTTGCTGCAGCAGCATCTGTTGCTGCAGCAGCATCAGGCGCTGCAGCAGCATCTGTTGCTGCAGCAGCATCAGGTGCTGCTGCTGCAGCATCAGGTGCTGCTGCTGCAGCATCTCCACTAGGCGAGGATTCGTTTGCTGCTGCTTCTGGCGCAGCAGCAGCAGCATCAGCAGCAGCTGGCTGCGGGTCGTCCGTCAGCTGCACTGCTGCTGCTGCTGCTGCTGCTTCTTCCTGCGCGTCTTGGGCCAGCTCAGCAGCAACTGCTGCTGCTGCTGCTGCTGCTGCAGCAGCAGATGTTGGCGGCGGGGAGGGCCCCGAAGCCAACACATTCTGCAGCAATTCGTCAACATCTCTTTGGACTTTTTGCTGCCTCCTGATTTGCTGCATTGCTGCTGCTGCTGCTGCTGCTCCCAGGCGCAGCCGCAGCTGCTGCCGCAGCTGCTGCTGCATCTGGCTTCCCATTTCAATAAACGCCGGTGCTGCTGCTGCTGCTGCTGCTGCTGCTGCTGTTGCTGCTGCTGCCTGGTTGTGCCCAACTTGCAGCTGGGAAGGAGTGGCTGCTGCGGACAGGAGAGCAGCAGCAGCAGGACCAGGAGCAGCATTAGCTGCTGCAGCTTCAGGCACTGCTGCTGCTGCTGCTGCTGCTGCTGCTGCTGCTGCTGCTGGCAGCTCCACGCCGCATGCAGTGGCAATGCTGCTGCAGGCATTTTCTGTCAATTTGATAGTGACGGTTCCCTGAAAATAAAATAAAAATAAAAATAAAAATAAAAATAAATAAAAATAAAAATAAATAAAAATAAAAATAAATAAATAAAATAAAAATTAAAATAAAATAATAATATTTGATGCTGCTGCTTCGCTTCATTCATTCAATGTGTGCAGCAGCAGCACCTAAAGCAGCAGCAGCTAGCAGCAACACGAACAGCAGCAGACGCGTCAAAAGCAGCAGCAGCAGCAGCAGCAGCAGCTACAGCCGCAACAGCAGCACGAACAGCAGCAGCAGCAGCAGCAAAAGCAGCAGCAAAAGCAGCAGCAGCAGCTACAGCCGCGAAAGCAGCACGAACAGCAGCAGCAGCAGCAGCAGCAGCAGCAGCAGCAGCAGCAGCAAGACTTGCCGCAGCATCCGCGAAGAAGGCCGTGCTGCTGTTGAACTTGTCTTCGTTTCCAAAGACAGAACAAACGAGAGCAGCAGCAGCAGACTGGCAGCTGCAGCCCTCAGCTCGAAGGGCGTAGCTTTTTGCTGCTGCTTCCAGCGCCTCTGCAGCAGCAAACAAATCCACACAGTTTGCTGCAGTGAGCAGCAGCTGCTGCAGCAGCACGGGCAGCAACGCAGGCAGCTGCAAGCGCAGCAGCAGCAGCAGCAGCAGCGACAGCAGCAGCAGCAGCAGCAGCAAAAGAGGCAGAAGCAGCAGCAGGCTTAGTCACCGCAGCAGCAGGCTGGGAGACTCCACGAGCAGCAGCACCACAATCACACAAGCAGCAGCAGCAGCAGCGACAGCAGCAGCAGCAGCAGCAGCAGTAGCAGCAGCAACACAGGAGGCAGCAGCAGCAGAGGCAGCAACAGCAACAGCAACACCAGCAGCAGCAGAAGCAGCAGCAGCAGCAGCAGCAACAGCAACACCGCAACGTAGCAGCAGGTACAAATCAGCTGCCGCAGCACCACAGTGACAACGGCAGGAGAAGCAGCACCACGCAGCTGCTGCTGCTGCTGCTGCTGCTGCTGCTGCTGCTGCTGCTTCCTTTGCTGCAGCTGCTTCACTAAGTAGCCCACCGTTGCCTCCGCATGCACTCAAGTCCAGATCACACTGGCCGCCAGGCTGCTGCTGCTGCTGCTGCTGCTGCTGCTGCTGCTGCTGCTGCTGCTGCAGCTGAATGGGGGGAGGCTGGTTGGACTCCTGCTGCGCGTCAGGGGCAGGAAGCTGTTGCTGCTGCGGCTGCTGCTCCTGCTGCTGCTCCTGCTGCTCCTGCTGCTGCTGCAGTTCGCGGAGAGTCTGCAGCAGCTCTTGCCTGCGTTGCTGCTGCTGCTGCTGCTGCACGCCCTGCTGCCAGGGCATCAAGTTCTGCGTGCTGACGGGCCCCGCGTCCCGCTGCTGCTGCTGCTGCTGCTGCTGCTGCTGCTGCTGCTGCTGCTGCTGCTGCAGCAGCAGCATGTCCCGCTCCAGCTTCTTGAACTTGGCATCTGCTGCAGCACTTTCTTCTCCTTTCAGTGAAGACAAAACCACTTGAGGAATTGTTTGAGGGGCTGTGGGGGGTACAGCCGAAGGGGCATTTAGCTGCGGCAGGGGGGCCCCCGGGGGGCCCCCCAGGGGCACTGCGAGGGGCCCCAGTGCTGCAGCAGGCGGCTCGTCTTGCTGCTGCAGCAGCAGCAGCTGCTGCGCCTTCTGCTGCTGCTGCTGCTGCTGCTGCTGCTGCTGCTGAAGCAGCTGCTGCTGCTGCAGCGCAGCCCCGCTCGCCAGCAAACTTGCAGACACGCCGCCGTCAACTGCCTGTACACCTGAGAAGCCAAGCGCCGCCGGCCCTGCTGCTGCTGCTGCTGCTGCTGCTGCAGCAGGAGCTGCTGCTGCAGCAAACGGAACAGCAGCAGCGCGCAAACCTGCAGGCGGCTGCGCAGCCAGCTGCAGATCTATTGCTGCTTTCTGCGCCTCCAAAAGAGCCAAATTGGCCCTGTCCACTTCGCTTTGCTGCTGCAGCAACTGCTGCTGCTGCTGCTGCTGCAGTTGCTGCTGCAGCTGCTGCTGCTGCAGCACTTGCTGCTGCTGCTGCAGCTGCTGCTGCTGCAGCACTTGCTGCTGCAGCTGCAGCAGATCGGGCTGCAGCTGCGGAGCCGCGAGTGTCAGCGCCGGCGCCTCCGGCTGCAGCAGCTGCTGCTGCTGCTGCTGCTGCTGCTGCTGCACCTGATAATTCAGCTGCAGCAAAGAAGCCCCTGAAAGCCCTGCGGGCACAGCCATTGCCTTGGCCTCTTCGAAAGACTCTGTGGGTGGCACTGAATCATTGAATGTCTTTTGCTGCTGCTGCTGCTGCTGCTGCTGCTGCTGCTGCTGCTGCTGCAAGTGGGAAGTAGCAGCGGCAAGCTCCGGGCCCGTGTGTCAGCGTGGGGGGGGAAGCGCTGCAGGGCGACCTGGGTTTCTGGGCTCTACACATGCGAAATAAAAAAGGAAAAAGTGGAAAAAAAGGAAATAAAACTTACTTTTCGGTTTCAGCAGCCGCCGGGGCGAGGGCTAGCCGGAGCAGTCGCGAGCAGCCGCAGAAGTTGAACGCGGAGAGTTGAGGTGGAAACCGCCCTCTAAAAGAGGAACGGGGGGGGAATACACATGAAAAACAAGAAAAGGAAGTAACTCGGAGAAAAGCTACCTTGAATTCGCATGTCAAGCAGCAAAGTTGTGCGAAAACGCACAGAAGACCAGCCCTGCGGAGAATCGATGCTGCGCTCCGCGGCGCGAGATCTGCAGCCCTTCGAGGTTTCCGGGGAGAAAAATAAAAAAGAAATGAAAAGAACGGCGCCAAAGCCTCCAAAGCCGCGGGGAAAAGCCCTAAAAGAATGAAAAGCAAAATGAAGTGACTGCGGCAGTTCGTGAACGAACAGAGTCGACCAGCCGAGCTGCCTGTACACCTGAACTGCGAAACCTCCAAAACCGAAGATTCTCCGAATTTATTTCTCCTTTTGAACTTCCGACTTCGCAAAACTCCATTAAAATGTTTCTTCTTTTCTCCTGGCGAGTTGGAAGCGAAAAAAACGCGGCTGGCCCCGCTTCCTGAGCTCGGCTTGCGCCCGCGCCGCGGCCGCCGCGCCCTGGAATCTGACGGAGTAAGAATGAGAAAAGCGGAAATTATCTTTAATGGCGAAGTTTAAATATTAAATTCAAAATTAAATGAATCTGCTGCAGCAGCAGCAGCAGCTGCTGCTGCTGCTGCTCTTCGATTTGCTGCAGCAGCTGCTGCTGTTCAAATTCAAATTCTTCTTCGCCCACGAAGAGTGGCTCGGTGCTAAACCCCAAACCCTAAACCCTAAACCCTAAACCCTAAACCCTAAACCCTAAACCCCGAAAACTGCCCTGGCTTGAAAGAAAGTCCTCCAGCGAGGCCTCCAAGTTGAGCAGCTTTCCAAAAGAAATAAAAAAGGAAATTCGAAAAAGAAAACTAACATTTTCTGGTTTTGTTTCTTTTCTTCTTTAGAGAAACAAAAACTTGAAATGAAATTAAATTCAACTTCATCAAAAGCCTCAACCGCCAAACCCTAAACCCTAAACCCTAAACCCTAAACCCTTGCTGCTCCTTCGACTTGCTCTTGTCGCCATTCCGTCTTCATTTCTTTTCTAATTTGCATTTCTTTATTTTATTTTTTCCATTTTTCTCTTTTTTGAGTTAAATGAATTTATTTTTTTTTTCAATTCTGATAATTACATAAGACAAATCAGTCAACTTATTAAATGAATTTTGCCAAATAAATAATTAACGAGTCAATAATTTAATTAATTAATTAATTAATTAATTAATTAATTAATTAATTAATTAATTAATTAATTAATTGAATTATTGACTCACTTCTAGTTGCAAACAAAGTAGCTGTTTCTTATGGCTAGCTAGCTAGCTAGCTAGCTAGCTAGCCAGCCGGCTAGCTAGCTAGCTGCAGCAGCAACAGCAGCAGCAGCGACAGCAGCAGCAGCAGCAGCAGCAGCAGCAGAAGCAGCATGCAAGCACTTTGCCAAAATAAAGAAATATTTCTTCGCGCTTCGTTTTGTGTTGCAGCGGACAAATTTGCCACTGCCCCCCAAACCCTAAACCCTAAACCCTAAACCCTAAACCCTGAACAAAAAATTGGGACCCTGGCTAGCCACGGCTAGCCCCCGCCAGCTAGCTAGTTAGTGCCAGCGGCCTAGCTAGCTAGCCAGCAAGCTAGCCAGCTAGCTAGCCAGCTAGCCAGCCAGCTAGCTAGCCAGCTAGCTAGCTAGCTACCCAGCTAGCTAGCCATGGCTAGCTAGCTAGAGAGCAGCAGCAAGTTAAGCACATCCGGCTAGCTAGCTGGCCAGCTAGCCAGCTAGCTAGCTAGCTAGCTAGCTCGGTGGCTAGCTAGCTAGCTAGTTGGAAATCTGGCCTTGCGGGTCGAGGCTTTGCTGCTGCAGCGCGCGTGGGCTGCTGCTGCTGCTGCTGCTGCTGCTGCTGCTGCTGCTGCTGCGGTAGTACTCCGCTTCGAGAGCAGCAAGAGTCTTTCTGGTGACTTTAATTCCTTTTGCTGCTTCTTGCAGCTCTTCAAAAGACAATTCCACTTTCTTCAAAACCTCCAAAACTCCCTCCAAAGAGCTCGCCAGCAGCACCGCCTGCGCACGCGCAAACCACCATTTAGGGTTTAGGGTTTAGGGTTTAGGGTTCGGGTTTTCCGGCGAAAGCGCAGCATGCACTGCGGGTGGAAAAGCAGCTAGCTAGCTAGCTGGACAGCTAGCTAGTTCGACACACAGCCTTGTTTAGCTAGCTAGCTATCTATCTGCCTCCAGCTAGTTAACCAGCTAGCTAGCTAGCTAGCCATAGCTAGCTAGCTGGCCAGCTAGCCACAGCTAGCTAGCTAGCCAGCTGGCAGCGGCTGGCCACAGCTAACTAGCCACAGCTAGCTGGCCCGCTCGCCGCGGCTAGCTAGCCAGCTGGCCACGGCTAGCTAGCCAGCCACAGCTAGCTGGCCAGAGCTAGCTAGCTAGCTAGCTGTGGCCAGCCAGCCACAGCAAGCTAGCTGGCCAGCCACAGCTAGCCAGCTAGCCAGCCACAGCAAGCTAGCTAGCCAGCCACAGCTAGCCAGCTAGCCAGCCACAGCTAGCTAGCTAGCCAGCCACAGCTAGCTAGCCAGCCAGCCACAGCTAGCTAGCCAGCCAGGCACAGCTAGCTAGCTAGCCAGGCACAGCTAGCTAGCTAGCCAGGCACAGCTAGCTAGCCAGCCAGGCACAGCTAGCTAGCCAGCCAGGCACAGCTAGCTAGCTAGCCAGCCACAGCTAGCCAGCTAGCCAGCCACAGCTAGCTAGCCAGCCAGCCACAGCTAGCCAGCTAGCCAGGCACAGCTAGCTAGCCAGCCAGCCCTAGCTAGCCAGCTAGCCAGGCACAGCTAGCTGGCTAGCTGACCTCGTTGGCCTTGAGGATGGCGAGGGCGGTGGCGAAGAGCTGCTTCTCTCCGCGGAAAAGAAACAAATCCCAAATTCTCAAGACGGAGTTCAACTCCAAGTTGTAAGCAAACAAAGTCATGCACAGCTAGCCAGCTAGCCAGCCACAGCTAGCTAGCCAGCCAGCCACAGCTAGCCAGCTAGCCAGGCACAGCTAGCTAGCCAGCCAGCCCTAGCTAGCCAGCTAGCCAGGCACAGCTAGCTGGCTAGCTGACCTCGTTGGCCTTGAGGATGGCGAGGGCGGTGGCGAAGAGCTGCTTCTCTCCGCGGAAAAGAAACAAATCCCAAATTCTCAAGACGGAGTTCAACTCCAAGTTGTAAGCAAACAAAGTCATCAGCCAGCCCGACAAAAACATCGAGGCCTCCACGCCCTCCGCCTCCAGGTGCGCGCTCAGCCTGCAGCAGCAGCAGCAGCAGCAGCAGCAGCAGCAGCAGCAGCAGCAGCAGCAGCAGCAAAGGCGGCAGCAGCAGAGGGCTTGGGGGCTTCTTGCTTCTGCTTTCTTTGTCGTGTCAGCTGCTTCTTGCTGCTGCTGGCGCCACAACAAAACCAGCAGCAGCAGCAGCAGCAGCAGCAGCAGCAGCAGCAGCAGCAGCAGCAGCAGCAGCAGGAGCGGACTGGGGCATGTGTGTCTTGAGGAGTTTTTGGAACTGGAAGAAGTATTTGTTCAAAAGAGGAAGTCCAGGTCTGTACAAATCCGCGAGAGAATATTTGGAAAGCAAACAAACCAAAAAACAAAATGCTGCTGCTTCCCGCATGTGCAGCAGCAGCACCCCACACACGAAACCCATGCCTTGGCAGTAACCTGCAGCAGCAGCAGCAGCAGCAGCAGCAGCAGCAGCAGCAGCAGCAGCAGCAGCAGAATCAGATAATCATTTATTTATTATTTATTTATTAATTATTTATTAATTATTATTTATTTATTTTTATTTATTTATTTATTTATTATTTATTATTATTAATTAATTAATTAATTAATTAATTTATTTATTTATTTATTATTTATTTATTTACCAACTTCGGGGTTGTACGCGGCGTAGGCCTTCAGCACTTTGAGGAGAGCCTGCGAGCAGCAGAAGGGCAAAAGTGGAAAAAGAACAAAAGATTAAACAATTTAAAGTAATTTAAAATGATTTAAAATGATTTAAATGATTTAAAGTGATTTAAAATGATTTAAAATGATTTAAAATGATTTAAAATGATTTAAAATGATTTAAAAGAAGGAAAAAGAATTCAAAAGAATTTTAAAAATCAAAAAAATGAACACAAAATGCGAAATTGGCGCCAAATACACACATGCCGCTTAAATTAAATAAACAATTAAATAACAAATAAACAAGCAATTAAATAAACAATTAAATAACTAAATAAATAAATAATAAATAAACAATTAATAAATAGAAACAAATTAAAATAAACAAAAGCAACTAAACAAACAACAAATAAATAAATAACAATTAAATAATTAAATAAACAATTAAATAAACAAATAAATAAACAAATAAATAAATAACAATTAAATAATTAAATAAACAATTAAATAAACAAATAAATAAATAAATAAATAAATAAATAAATAAATAAATAATAATTACAAGTTGTGGGCGTCGGAAACTCAGAGACTTCTCTTTCACAAACCCCTTTGTTTGTTGTTGATTTGTTGGTTTTGGTTGGTTTGTTGGTTTGTTGGTTGAAAACA